GGACTGGAGGCGCCTTGAGGCCCTCTCGGGGCCTTCCTTGGAGCCTCCTCAGGGCGTTCCCGGGCCCCCTTCGGAGTTCCTCGGCGCTCCCCGAAACCATGCATCCTACCGCTGGTCTATGCTGAAGCGAGCCCCCTGCGACGCCATTTTGTGGCCATTGTCTTCCCGCGATGATTCGTGGTCGCGGCTCGCTTTGATGCAGCAAGAAGAATCTAAGTTTAACTTGAATGCGCTGGGGGCCAGCCTACTTTTGCCCCCAACGCATTCAAGTTAAACTTAGATTCTTCTTGCTGCATCAAAGCGAGCCGCGACCACGAATAATCGCGGGAAGACAATGGCCACAAAATGGCGTCGCAGGGGGCTCGCTTCAGCATAGACCAGCGGTAGGATGCATGGTTTCGGGGAGCGCCGAGGAACTCCGAAGGGGGCCCGGGAACGCCCTGAGGAGGCTCCAAGGAAGGCCCCGAGAGGGCCTCAAGGCGCCTCCAGTCCTCTGAGTGGACCCCCATCAGGACCTCCAAGGTTCCTTGAGGATCTGGGCGGAATCCACTCTCTGGTACGCCCGACGCTGGACTTGGAGCAACATCTTGAGCATGTGAAGAGGGGAAAGCGGGGAGGGAGGGAGGGGGAGGGAGGGAGGTGAAAGAGGGAGGGGAGGGAGGGGAGGAAGGTGAAAGAGGGAGCCCCCTGGCGAGCGTCCGGCGGCTGCTCCGCGGCGCACCCCAGGCCGCAGCCCGCCGCGTCGTCGAGCTCCTGCAGGCGCGGGGGCCGCGGGCTGGCGGGCGCTATCCTTCCCAGACCCTCCTATTCCGTTTGCCTCCTTCTCCCCTTTGTTCCTCATATTCCTCCCCCTTCCTCCTCGCCCACTCCGTTGCCGTCGCCGCGTTCCTCCCCCTCCTCCTGCTAATCCGCCTTCGTTTTCGCCTACCTCCTCCAAGCCCCGCGGCCTCCGCTTTCCGAGGCCCCAATGCCACAAACACACGCGCACGCGCGCGCGCACGCGCACACACGCACGCACGCACACACACGCACGCACGCACACACACACACACACGCACACACACACACACACACGCACGCACGCACGCACGCACGCACGCACGCACGCACGCACGCACGCACGCACGCACGCACGCACGCACGCGCGCACACACACACACACAAACACACACACACACACTCACACACACACTCTCACACACACACACACACACGCACTGGCATGACTCAGCCCGACACCCCAAGACCCAGGAATCCTTGGACCCACGCGTGTCGAGCTCAGCGATGGAGTCATCCATCAGGGTCGAGGCTGCCGCCGGCAGGCGGGCGCGGGCCGTCGCCTGCTTGGCACAGGCCCCCTCCAGCCTCAGCAGGAAGGACGTGCGGGGAGCGTTGGCCAGGCGGAGCTCGGGGGCGTTGAGCGAATCCTGGCGGCAAGTGGAGGGCGAAGGGGGGAGCGGCAAGGCCCCCCAGGGTCAGTCGGTTGGACACAGGTCGTTTCTACAATTCCTACCAGACCTCCTCTCCTGACACGTCGTCCTCCTAGTACCTTCCTCCCTCCTCCATCCTCCTCCTCCCTCCTCCTCCCCTCCTCCTGCCTCCTCCCCCCATCGCCCTCGCACTTTTCTTCGCTCTCCCCCTCCTTCGCCCCCCCCCCCCCCTCCCTGGCACACGAACGGCTAACATAACGCCAAAACAACTTGGGGCTAGCACCATGATGTCCTGAGAACTCGGGGCGCTAGCCCTTGTTTTTTTTGTGGGAGGAGGGGGGTCACCCCCGATTGGGCCCCCCTGGGGCCCTGGTCCGCGCCCTCCCCGCTCCCCGCCCTCCTCCTTCCTCGCTCATTCCCCCGTTCACTGCATCATGTGGCTCATACTTGCTTCAGGCCATTCGGTAAAGGGGCAGGGGCGGGGGGGGGCATATTACGCATGACCCATTCCTCGGTGTCCGACTCCTGGCCGATGGCGTCGTCGGCGTTGGCGACGCTGCCGGGGGAGGGCGGCGTCGGCGTGGAGGACTGGGGCTGCACCTCGCCCTTGCCCTCGTCCGACTCGTCCTGGCAGCTGCCCTCCTCGGCCACCTCGGTCACCTCGGTCGTGATCTTAGCCACCTTGAAGAAGTTCAGCAAGCCCTTCCCTGGAAGATAGAAGCCGTCGATGCGGGGCGGAAGCCTCAGGACAGGCACCAGTGCGTCGCGTAGAACAGCAGCGATCATGGGAGGCGCATAGCTATTCCCCAACGCTTTCAGCATTGCTGTCTTCGGCATAAGCTTCACATCCAAATCAGTGATGCCAAACAGATTGGCTCGCTCTTCCAGCTTCAGATACCTGCTGCCTTTAGGGTGACACCCGAAGCCGAGCGGGACAAGGTAGAGGTCTGAATTGCCGCACTTCAACGTCGGGCACGTGTCATTGAGCCAATACATCTTGCCGTAACTCTTGTACTTGCCCGGCTGACGGCACGCGTCCACGACGGCCGCCTTGCCTTTGCGCGCGGGGTCGTTCATGGCAGACGCCACGTCTGACATCTCAAAGAAAACTTTGACGTTGTCTACTTGCGCCTGCGTCCTCAGCTTCTGCTCGCCCTTGCGATGCTCCGGGCCGACGGGCGTTTCCAAGAACTTCTGCAGCTTCACCGTAGGGACGGATATGTCACCACACGCCTTCAGCTTGGAGAAGTCAACATTTGCGAGAGTGTCCTGGTGCCACATCAAGATCACTGCGCGAGTGCGCGACTGGGGGATGCCATACTGCGTCAAGTTCCTGACCATGTACATCACCTTCATCCACGGGGCGTGCGTGGCCAAGTACTCCATGATCTCCTCGATGAACGGCGGCTGGTTGCCGACGACCTGGGTGGCCCCCTTCACGTTCTCGAGCAGGGCGACCTCGAGCCTCTCCGTTGTCTCCGTCGTCTCGCGGCTCGACATCTCCTTTATGCACTCTAACGTGTGCCGAAAGACGTTCGCCCTGTCGTCGCCGGCCGCCAACCTCTTGCCCTGGGACGAAAATGGCGGGCACGGCGGCCCGCCGCAGAGGAGCCTGGCGTGCGGCATGGACTTGGGCTTCACTCGGGTGATGTCCCCCTGTAGTTTGCCGACGTGGATCGCCGGCCACTCGCTCTCGGGCACGAGCTCCTTCAGGGGTCCTGCGGGGGGCCAGCGGGGGCCCACATGAGCTACACCTCCGTCCCCTCGCGAGGTTATCGCGCGAGTTGTCTGCCAAGTCGATGCGTTTGCACGCAGCGTGGGCGCTCTGACCGAGGAGCGCGTTTCCATCGCAGCGCTTCCGAGCGTTTCCGAGCGTTTCCAAGTGTTTCCGACCGTTTCCGACTGTTTCCGACTGTTTCCGCGCGGCCCCGAGCAGCTGAAACGGTGTTTCCGTTGTCACGTGGGCGTGGATGCGGGGGCGTTTCCGACCGTTTCCGAGTGTTTCCGAGTGTTTCCGACTGCGCGTTTCCAAGGCGTCGGGGTTGCAGGGCGCCGGGGTCGCAGGGCGCGAGGCGGGCCCGATGGGGGCGCGCGCGGGCCCCCCGAGAGCGACATGAGGGCCTCGCGACGCCCGTGGACCTCGCATCCGAACCCTCGCCTACAAATCACTTCATCAAAGCCCTCCTCCTCCCCTCCTGGGGCCTCGGCCATCCCCCTTCTTCCCGCTGCCCCCCTCGCGCGCACTTGCCGTCGTCTCACTCGGGTTGCCCTCTTCCCTCTCCCCCATCTTCCTCCTCGCCCCAGTGATCCCCCAACCCCCCCGTCCTCATCCCCATCATGCCTCCTCCTCCTCCTCTCCTCATCCTCTCTACCTCATCGTCCCCCCCCTGCCCTTCCTTCTCCCACGAGCTGTCCTGCAAGCCCTCTGTTCATGTCCCACGCCCCGCGCAGGGCGGGCGCGATGCCGAGGGCCTTCAGGGCGCGGTGGTCGTTGAGCAGACCGCAACAAGGCGAGACCACTGTGATCTGCTTGCGCTCTGCCCCATCCCCGGGAATGCGCAACGCACGGAGGAAGGTAAAGGGCCACTGCATCCTGCAGCACTGCAGCCCCCCCGGGAAGGGGCCAGGGGCCACAATTGCTTCAGCGAGAAACGTGCAACGGACAAGGGGGCGGGGGGGCATCGTAAGGATACAGGACGCGCAGGAGGGCACGGATGTCGGCGAACCTATGGCGCAACGGCGCAGCCTGCGGCGCAACCGACGACGACGACGACGACGACGACGACGACGACGACGACGACGACGACGACGGGAGTGGCACTGGTTCCCAGCAGGGGCCCCCGAAGCCCCGAAGGGGGAGTTCTACCACTCTAAGGAGGACCCCGCAGGGACGCCGCCTGCGCTCCCTTGTGGCCGCCTCAGTCGTCGTCGTCGTCGTCGTCGTCGTCGTCGTCGTCGTCGTCGTCGTCGTCGTCCCTTGGGGGCTGGCCCGCGGCCCGCGTTGGTTTGGCAGGTCTGCCTGCGGCACGCCCCCTACTCCACTGGCGGCCCCGCCCCCCGCCGCCGCTCTCCACCAGTGGTTTGATGTCGCGAGCCAGGCCCTCTCGCAAGAGCTCTGGAGCCGAAGGCGGCCCCGACTGCTGGGGCCCCATCGCGCCCCGAAGCAAGTGGGCGCCTGGCGACGAGAGGCGGGGGGCGAAGATGACGCGGGAGAAGGGGGGGGGGAGCGGGGAAAGGGGGGGAGGATGACACCCTTCGCCCCCTGCCTGATTGGGAGAAGATGTATTAGAACGATATGATCCTTGGGGTAGTGAGATCGATAGGAAGTCACGCTGAGGAGTAGGGAGTAGTAGTAGTAGATAGTGATGTAGAGAGAAGGTGAGTCAGGTAAGACGACTTGAGTGCACAGCAGAGACGTGAGTATCATTGTACATTTGCGCTGGCATAGATGTAGCAGTCCACGTGTCACACAGTCACAGTACACAGCTGAGTTACCAGATAGAGTAGGATGAGTGAATAAGACTGAGTAGATGGAGTGAAGTGATATGTGGTGATGTGTGGCAAGAACACATCCATCTCCGCCTGCGACACCACGTGCTTGGTATGCTGGAACTTAACCTGGGCGGGCTGCTGCGACTCGTGTCCGCGCCACGCCCACGCGGCCAACCTGGCCAACAGCGTTTGCCTGTTTGGCTCCAGCTCAACAGTTCTCCATTTGAAACAAGCCGGGTGATGTTTGCCGCAGCACGCTACCCAGGCCCGTTGTTTACCGTTCACATGACGAGCGTTATCAAAGTGTATCTTGATCGGCGCGATGCCGGGGGCCACCGCAGTCACGACCTCGCATATGTCACCTCGCTCTCGAGTGCCAGGCGGAGGCGGGCAGATGACTTGAGCAGCGATAATCCAATCGTCTGTGTCATAATCGTGCTTATCGCCAATGACCGAGAGGATGAGGCCAGCCGGGTCCCCCTCCCCCTGGCCGCCGGAGGTGCCGCCGTCGCCTTCGTCCTCGAGAACGCCGCCCGCGCGCCCTTCACCTGGCGGCGGCGGAGGTCGCGGGCACGGGGCGGAGGCGAAGGCCCAGGAGGAGAGGGAGGAGGCGGAGGAGGAGGAGGAGGAGGAGGAGGGAGAGGAGAGAGGAGGAGAGAGGACAGGAAGAGGAGAAGGATGGTGGATGGAAGAGGACGACAGACGGACTATGCCCATGACCATCGGGCCACAGACAGCATCGCTGGCCAGAGCCCGAGGGTCGGGGTCGTTGGGGCCCAATTGCCAGGGGGGGGGCGCCGACGACGACGACGACGTCAACGACGGCTGGCGGGCGGAGGCTGGGGAGTCTAGGCCAGAGCGATGGCACTTGCCAGCGCCCCTTCTGGAGAGCATATTACCCCGAAGTTCAACCTCTCAGCAGTTTCTTGAACGCGTCGTCCGGCAACTTCCACGGCTGCTCCACCGAGGCGAGCAGATCAATCATTGCTTTGATGAGGCCCGGGTTGTGAGCAGCCAGCAACACCTTATAATAATGCTGGGGCATGCGATGTAATACCTCGAATCCAACGCCGAATCGTTCCAGGATGTCACGTATGCTCACCAGGGCCAGGTAATACGGGTGAGACCCATGAATGCCAGAAGCACCTAACACATAAGAATGCACTTGCATTGACGGGGCCCCCAACGACGACCGACGAGGAAGAGGCGGGAGGCACGGGGATGAGGGAGGCGGGTATCGGGCGGCGGGGGAGGAGGAGGTGATGTCCGAGCACGCAGTGGGGGGGTCGAAAGAGCAGGAGAGTGAAAATGGTTTTTCTCGTCGATTCTATGTCGACACATTTTCCTGAGGCCCCCCTGGGGGCCCTCGCGGGCCCCGGCGCGCTCGGGGCCAAACCCGCGGCGCGGTCTGGATATGGACGATGGGGTCCAGATCTTCAGGAGCCCCTTGGAGCAGCGATGGTCGTCGCTCCTGTTCCTCCTCCCTCCACCTACCTCCCCCCTCCACCTCCCAACCTAAGACTCCCCCAGGGTGGCCGCGAGGCACCTGCCCAAAATGTTTTGGCCTCCGTGTCCACCGCCGCCCCGACCGCCATGTCCCGCAACGGCGTCCACCCAGAAATGACGAGGTGACGTGCTGCCAGCAGTTTCGACCCGCATGGGATGCTGGACTGCTGCGCCGTCGCCGAACACAGGGGGGTAGGCCCCCAAGCATGCGTGTGACATTCCCACGTAACCATGGCTCCCACGAGAGCGACTTCGTCGCCATTGAATTCATCCTGCCGCCTGACGAGCACTCCTTGGGGCCATGGGCGTGGGGAAATGTGGCAAACGGCTAAATGCATATTCGTTGCCCTCGCCCGTTTACCCCCTGTCGGCCTAAGGCCTGGAGATGGGCGGGAGGCGGGGGACGGCATTGAATACGCAGATAGCCCTCGCACCATCGCCCCTCGCCCTTGGCCCACGGGTTCCCCCTGCCACGAGCGCATCGAGTTCCACGGCGATGCTGTTCGCCCCCTCTTCATCGCCATCCTCAAGACCTCGTCTTGGTAAGAACTTACCCGCGCTCTGGAGCGCGCCCTGGGAAACGAAATAACTGATTTGGTCTGCGATGCGGTCTCTACGTTCTGCGATCGCATCATACGGTACTTCACTGTGAACTACAAGTGCATCAGGCGCGCCCGCGCTCGGGGGCTGCTCGACCGGCAGGAGGCCGTGGTCAAGTAGGGGCAGTTGGACTTTAGGGGCAGGCTCAGCCGATGGTTCCGAGCGCGCCCATACGATAAGAGACTCCATTACTTTCCTCACGCCTGCCCGAGCAACCAGCGCCCAAATATCCAAAGCAAGGGGCATGCTCACTTGCGCGCCATTGTGCGCAACGATATTCAAGCCAGCCTGTGGATGTGAATGTGCACCACCCGCGCCAATGAAGTAATCGTGCACGTGCGGCAGCCCAACAACCGTCACCACGCAAGGCGCATTGGGATCGACAGGTCCGAGGTTCATGTAGTGCCGCCGCTCGGGGCGGGACGTGACCACTTGCAACGTGATGAAGTCATCGGGCATTTCACGTAGCGGGGGCACCATGTAGTTCGTCATGAGAACCTCCCACACTGGGTCGTGGGCAGTGAGCGAATCCGATGGTGCGAACTCGCCAAGGGGCCCCAACGCCCCCTGTGCGACTCCTGCCGAAACAGAAAATACGCGGCCATCGTGCAACATATCTTTGATGAAATTCACGCAAGCTCGCAAATCATCTGGGTATTTCATCTCATGCTTGCGAGCCGTCAGCGCCAAAGCAGCGCGCGCGGCGCTCTGGCCTTGCGCCTGCTCGGTGCAGTCCTCGGGCACACGGGGACTGCGGCTGGCCGGGGGCCAGGGGAGATGGAGACGAAGAGGAGGGGGAGAGGAAGCCAAGGAGGGGGGGGAGGAGGAGGAGGAGGAGGAGGAGGAGGACGAGGACGAGGAAGAGGAGGGGATGGAGGAGGAGGAGGAGGAGGAGGAGAAGGAGGAGAAGGAGGAGGAGGAGGAGGAGGGGGAGGGAGAAGGGGGGAGGAGGAGCGAGGCGGAAGAGGAGGAGGAGTAGCCTCGCATACCTGGTCATATCCTCACCTCCCATTCCTCCTGCTCCTCCTCCTTCCGCTGGCCCCCCATCCTTGAAGAGGTCCACGTTGTTGAAGGCGTAGATCTTCGTCCACAGGTGGTCCACCGAGCAGCCCGGGCAGGCGCCTCCGCCGCGGCCGCGCGGGCGGGCCACGAGCGGAGAGATACGGGCGCGAGGGTTTACAGGGGGGGGGGCGGGAGGGGGGGGAGTAGGCAGCGGGCTGATGGGGTTGGAGGAAGAACCAAACCGACATGAGGGGCAGCTGGGCTAGGGAGCGGCGGGATGGGGAATGCGAGGTGCGAGGGTCCGGGCGGGGGACGGGTGAGTGGACAGGCAAGAGGGCGCTCCATGTTCAGCTGTGGCATTCCTGATGTTCTGCCCCAGGGCCCCCGAGGAAACGCCCCCCGTCACGACGTGCCCCCGCGTTGTCAAGAATTCCAATCCGCTTCACATCGCCCCCCTGTCCCTCCCAGCTCTTCCCCCTCCAGTCCCCTGCCCCCTCCTCTCCCTCGTTCGTTCTCCTTTGCGCCCACATTCCCCATTCCCCTCTTGCTCCCTCCGCGCCCACTCATCCCCCAATTTCAAACCCAATGCCCTCGCCCCGCCCCCCTCCCTCGTGGACCCCCGACCCCCGGCGCCCCGCCTGTAAACTTGAACTCCTCGTGGAACACGCCCCGGCCATCCAGGACCCGCCGCATGAAGCAGTAGGCATGGGGGATGTCGAGCAGCGGCAGGGTCTCGGAGCTCCGGAGCTCGGCACAGACCTTCGCAGGCAAACCTCGGGTGGTGATGAGGGTGGTGATGGCAATGGCGGTTGCAGTGATGATGATAGCGGTTGTTGCAGCGATGATGGCGATGGCGGTTATGATGATGGCGACGACTCTCCCCCGACCCAGTTTGGGCGAACCCATTGAGCCAGGGTTGCTCTGCTTGACGCGCTTCACGACGGCGTGGGCCTGCTCCACGCGCCTCGAGGTGCCCGTCAGGAGAGCAGCGCGAAGAGCTAGAACCGCCAATTCAGGGTCCATCTCACCCGTCTCGGCAAACATCCGTATCTGCTCCCGGTGGAATCCCCAGCCCCTTGGGCTTGTGGGCGTTGGGCGTAGGTGGTCTAGAGCGTATCCTTTTCCAGTTGTCCTAATCAACCCCCTCTACCTACCCTCTCCCCTAGGGTCTGCCCCCCCTCCACCAACCCCTCCTCCTACCCCCTCCGCCCAGGACAGGGTGGGAGAGCTCCCGAGGGGCCCCAAGAGGGGGCCAGCAGGGCTCCCAGAGGGCCCGACAAGGGCTCATGACACATGTACTTGGATACTTGGATGCCCCGATGCCCCTCTGGCAAGCCCAAGAAGCAAATCAAGTACATGCGGTTTGGGGTCCTCCTGGCTCCTGGGCCCCCCTTGGGGCGCTCTTGCGGCCCTCTTGGGCGTTCGGGCCCCTCCAAGACAGGGTGGGAGGGCTCCCGATGGGGCCGCAGGAGGGGGCCAGGAGGGCCCCAAGAGGGCCTCGACAAGGCCCCATGACGCATGTGCTTGGGCACCCCTCTGGCAGGCCCAAGAACCACATCAAGTACATGCGGTTTGGGGCCCTATTGGGCCCCTCTTGGGGCCCTCTTGGAGCCCTCTTGGGGCCCCTTTCGTGCCCCCTGGGGGCCCCCGAAAATCTTCCAAGGGACATCCGAGGAGACTCCCAGTCATTCAAGAAGTGTCTGGCTCTTCTGTTCGTCATTTTTCCTCTTGCCTCTTGCCTCATTATCCTCCCCCATCCTCCTCTTCCTCCTCCTCCTCATCATCATCATTCTCCTCCTGCTCCTCCTGCCCCCCCTTCTCCTCCTCATCCTACGCATCGCCCTTCTCCCCGCTCAAACACCCGCCCATCCACCCATCCAGCCTCCTCCTCCTCATCCCGTCTTCGCGCGGCTCGGCTATCCCACGAGTTGCTCCCGCGCTTCCCTGACAGCTCAATGCGCCTGGGCGTCGTGCCTGGATGGGCTGGCGGGGATACGCGAAGCGTAAATAATTTGAATATGTGCCTCGTTAATCTATGCATTGCGTCTAGCTTGCCCTCCTGACCTAACCTCGTGATCTCGGCGTAGATCTCGTGGGCCTTCGCTCTGGCTTGCTCTTTCCCCCCCCACCTCGCGCCATCCAGCGCTGCAATTGCGTATGGGAGACACTGATAGAAGCGCAGCTTGAGTGCCACGATCTCGCACAGGGAAGACTTGAGATGTGCCATGGTCTCCACCATCTCGGCTCGCACTGCCCTGGAGGCCACGTTCAACAGCTCGTTGTACTTATCTGAAGACGCTGACCTAATATTGCCCACGATCTTGGATATGCCCCCCAGTGCCATGTCAGTGCATCGCCTCCCCTTCCACGGGCACCGGTCGAATCCTGTTTCGTCCCGCAGGCGCTTCCGCTTGGACCAATAGGCCTCGCGCGATGTCCAGATGCGCTCGCGGCACGAGCAGCCCTCGAACCAGCCAACCTGAGCGGAGGAGGAGAAGGATGAGGAGATGAAGAGGATGGGGGGAAGAGGAGGAGAAGCAGCAGGAGGCGGAGGAGGAGGAGGATGAGGCCTGGGGCCAAGGGCCAGGAAGGCCCCTGTGTTGGACGAAGAGGGGGAGGAGGAGGAGGAGGAGGAGGAGGAGGAGGAGGACGACGAGGAGGAGGAGGAGGAGGAGGAGGAGCAGGAGGGAGCAGGAGCAGGAGCAGGGAGCAGGAGCAGGAGCAGGAGGAGGAAGCCCCCCGATCCTTTCTCATCCCCCTTCCCCCATCCGCCCCCCCCCCGCCCCCCGCGCCCCTGCCTTCCCCTCCCCGGGGGGGAATGAAGGGGGGGGGGGGGGGGGGAGCGGCCCCGGCCCCTTCGCCAAACCCCATTCGGTCAGAGTTTCCAGGTCGTGGCCGCTCCCCCCCCCCCCCCCCCCCCCCCCATCCACGCCTCCACCCTCCATCCCATCCTCCTCCACATCCGGGCCTCCCCTCCGTGCGCGCCTGCTTCCCCACTGCGTCGGCAACGCAGCGCAGGCCCTCGACCACGACGTGGAGGCCGGGGTCCTGGAGCGCTGCGGTCACCCCCTTGATGACCTGAGCCGAGCCCTTCCCGTCGGGGTTGGACATGAGCCGCTGGTCCCAGCGCGCCAAGAGTGTCGAGATCAGCGGCTCCAGCGCCCCGAGCGTGTCCTCGCGGCGCGGCCCCCCTCTCTCATCACCCTCTGCAGCGTTGGGTTGGGTCCTCCCGCCGAGTTGGGTTCTCAACGTGGTCCTCCCGCCGAGTCGGGTTGGGTCCTCCCGCCGAGTTGGGTTGGGTCCTCATGTTCTTGTTTATCTCCCTCTCTCTCTCTTATCTCTCTCTCTCTCTCTCTCTCTCTCTCTCTCTCTCCTCTCTCTCTCTCTCTCTCTCTCTCTCTCTCTCTCTCTCTCTCTCTCTCCTCTCTCTTCTCTCTCTTCTCTCTCTCCTCTCTCTCTCTCTCTCTCTCTCTCTCTCTCTCTCTCTCTCTCTCTACTCTCTCTCTCTCTCTCTCTCTCTCTCTCTCTCTCTCCTCTCTCTCTCTCTCTCTTCTTCTCTCTCTCCTCTCTTCTCTCTCTCTCTCTCTCTCTCTCTCTCTCTCTCTCTCTCTCTCTCTCTCTCTCTCTCTCTCTCTCTCTCTCTCTCTCTCTCCTCCTCTCTTCCTCCCCTCATCTATCTCCTTCTTTCTTTGTGTCGTATTTCTCTCTCCACCCCTATCCGGCACTCCACCCCCGCCCCCCTGGGACGGGTCGAATAACACAGGGAAAGGGCGCGGAGCCCGCGGCCCGCGCGGGCCGCCGAGGAAGGGGCCAGGTGGTCCTGGAGGAACTCCCATTTCCAATCCACGAGCTTGCGCCACCAATGCTTGAACTGGTTTTTCTCCTGAACCGTCTGCAAGCATTTCGCCTGAAACAGCTGCCGCAGTCCTTTATCCCCCAGAAAAGCCAATATGTTCCGCACGTGGGTTTCGAGCTGTTGCCATACATTTGTTTTTGTGACGGTTTCCTCCAACGCGTTGTAGAATGCGTGGCAACAGTCGTGCACCCCAACAGCCCTGGGGAATATATAAAAGTTGGGGGCATTGTTTGGGCACCTGTCTCCAGAGGCGATCTGTTCCAATGAATGCTTGAATTCGGGCAGCAAAGTTGAGAGGCCGAGGTTGGGGGCATCGCAAAGGAGAGCCTCCGTCCCTTGATCGCTGCACACCCCGATTATCTCACCTCTCCATTTGTCAAACAACTTACCAGAATTGCAACGCCCAGCGTGGATTATCTTGCACGTTTTGTGAACCTCCGAAGCGGCCCCCCGCCCCAAGACCATAACAGGTAATGTCTTTTGCTTATGCACCGTCTCCAATCTAGTATTCAATATCTCGGTAGCCGCGGCATTCGCAGGGAAAGCAAATTCGTCGCACCGGACGACGAGGAAGTTCCAACCACCCTGGGGCGAGGAATCTGGCATCAAGTACCTCCAGGTTACGTGCTTCTCGAGCATGACCCGTTCATACATCATCGCCATCACGTCAACCTTGATTTGGCCCCGCAGTAGACTCTGATATCCAGGTAGATGTGGCGCGCCGGCGTCCAGGTCATTGCAGATATCAACTCCTGGTGGTAGCTCATCTTGCCCCCACACGACCCCGGGGCCTCATGGAATGCGGCCTCGGGGAAGGACCCCACAGGGCCCGAACTTCCAGGAAACCCCGAAGGGGCCCCGGGACCCATAAGTCCTGAGGGAATGCCGAAAAGCCCCCCTTCCCGTCGCCCTCTTAACACCCCGCGTGACCCCCACTCCACGCCGCCATCCTCCTCAAGACGCCCAGGGGATGTCTTGGCGGCCGCCCCCCATCCCCCGTCCCCCGTCCCTCTGGCGTCTCGGGTGGCCCTGTTGGGGGTCTGAAGGTTGGGCCCCTGTCTTTCGATTCCTCTGGAGGGGCCCCTGCGGCGGGGCATGTGCACGCGGAAGGAGTGGCGGCGGTGGTCATGTGCACGCAGGGGCGGGGTTCCTCATCCCTCTTCCTCCTCATCCTCCTCCTCATCATCCTCATCATCCTCATCCTCCTCATCTTCCTCGTCCTCCTCATCCTCCTCCCCTCCCTCCCCCCCCTTATCCCTCCCTCCTCCCTCCCTCCCTCCTCCCTCCTCCTCCCTCTCCCTCCCCTCAATATTTCCCCTGTCAGCGCTTGCACTGCAGGCTGCAGGGGTCAGGGCCTAGGGGCCCTCGCGGATATTGCAACATTTGGCGACAATACAGGGCCGATTTCGGTAGCTGGGTGGGTGGTGGGCGGCGTGGGTGGTGGGTGTGAGTGGTGGGCGGGTGGTGGGTGGATGGTTGGGTGGTGCATGGTGGGTGGTGGGTGATGGGTGGGTGGTGGGTGAGTGGTGGGGTGAGGTGGGGTGGGTGGGGTGTGGGGTGTTGGGTGGGTTTGTGCGCGGGTGGTGTGCGGGTGGTGGGTGGGTGGTGGGTGGGCGGTGGGTGTGTGGTGGGTGTTCGGTGGTTAGTGGGTGGTGGGTGTTCGGTGGGCGGTGGGTGGGTGGGTGGGTGGGTGGGTGGGTGGTGGGTGGGTGGTGGGTGGGTGGTGGGTGGGTGGTAGGTGGGTGGTGGGTGGGTGGTGGTTGGGTGGTGGGTGGTGGGAGGGTGGTGGGTGGGTGGATGGTGGTGGGTGGTGGGTGGGTCGTGGGTATTGGGTCTTGGGTGGGTGGTGAGTGGGTGGTGGGCGGGTGGTGGGTTGGTGGTTGGTGGTGGGTGGGTGGCTTTACTCTCACCCGCAAGTGCGGGGTGCTACGTAGAGAGAAGAACATTGAATAACTAGGTAACTAGGCGGAGCGGGATCACTGCCGATCGAGGTACCTGCGACAATGCACTGATCACTGATTGGGGTTTTCTCAACCTCCTCATTCCTCCATCCCTCCATCCTCCATCCCTCCACCTCCTCATCCCTCCACCCTTTACCTCCTCCAGGTCCGTTTGGCTCGCGCCGTCCTTTGATGACCCGAACTCCTGTCTGGGCCCTGGACGACATGCACGCAATGCGAACGGCCAGCTTGACGGTGTCAGTCATGTCAGATCTCCCCTTCAAGCGGGCAAACAACTTCACAGAGTGCAACAGAACATCAGGATCTATCCGTTTTTCCAGATTCTGCCGGCGCAGGGGATGTCGAACCGCCGCGGCCCCGGGGGCCCCTTCGCCTCCAGAATGGACAACGATGGCCGAAGATGCGGATGCGGCTCGGCGCTCCGCGGTGCCAGTGGTGCCCGGGCCCAACTCGAATCCGCCGTCATCAACATGCTTACCAAAAGTGATAATGGTCGGGACATTGCGGTGCAACACACTTGTCACGCAACCGAGATCCACAGTAAAACATCTGGCAACCCGAAGTTGCGCAACCGAGACTGGCTGGCCACGCGACCCAAGATGGGCAATCAACCCAGCAGTCTCGGCTCTGCTCGGGGACCACACCCGATGGCGCCACCCCCCCGATCTTTCGAGAACGAAAGGCTGTGAGAAGGCAATCGCACTACTTACACTCCAACGGACCATAACTCCATCCTTTGCCGAGGACCTCTTGGAGTCCTTGCGGAGGTGATTCATCATATCGAACTCATGGTTGTGAGAGAAGTCGGAACACGTACACGCAATAACGCCAGATAAGACAACAAGACCATGCACTCTGTTCACGTTATTGTTCCTGGTACCCTGCTGGGCGCAACACGTGTGCAACCAGAAATGCGCCGGGAATCCTCGGCGGACTCGACCAGGAGAGGGAGGGGCGGCCTCCACGGCCAGGCCGAGCCCGTCGTCCATGGCGCGGCGGGTCGGCCAAATTTACGCTTGGTCATAAAATCCACAGACGACGACGACGACGACGACGACGACGACGACGACGACGACCTCCTCCTCCTCCTCCTCCTCCCTCCCTCCCTCCTGCTCTCGGACCTCTCCAGAGACGACGACGACGACGACGACGACGACCTCCTCCTCCTCCTCCTCCTCCTCCTCCTCCTCCTCCTCCTCCTCCTCCCTCCCCTCCTCCTCCTCCCTCCCTCCTCCTACCCTAAACCCTAAACTGCAAGCCACGGGCGGTGCATCGTCAGAAGCCCGTGGCGCCTGGCCGAGCGCTCAGCGAGCCTGCCCATACAGCGTGCGCCGCACCGACGAAGCGGCGATAGCCGCTGAGGAGGAATTCGCACGCCGCGCGGTGCATCCCCGTGGCGTTCTCCTAAGAAAAGGAACCCCTAACCCTCAGCCCTAGCAAGCGGCTTCGCCGCGCGCTCCTACATCCCCTGGGGCTCCAAACTTATGAAAATACACCATGCGGTGCTCTCTGGGTGCTCCAAACCTATGAAATTACAGCGCGCGGCGCTCCAGGCGCTTCCAGACGCTCCAGGCGCCCCCAGGGAGTCTCCAAGCGCTCCCGGCACGC